ATGTTCTCTGGCTAGCCCCCACAATTTATGCATAATGCGTGTAGAAATGTTTAAATCTTTGGTAGTGTTAGTTTTTGTACCCCGCTGAAGTTTCCCTTAATTACAACTGTGTAACAGTCTTTCAATTATCTTCCTATTGGGACTTGTCAGTTTCGGCTAGTGCTTGTGGCTAGAAATATTCTCTTCTCCTTCTGGCTGTGTTTGTACATCTTCTTGTTCTTCTTATGTTTGGCCAGGTATGTTTGAGATGAGTAACTGAAAAGGAGGCGTACATGCCGGGCTACTGAAAGGGGAGGTGGTGGCCATTAATGAAGAGTCTCAGTTGCTATTTGTGGTGGCCATTAATGAAGCTTTGCCATAAATGAAGAAGTAATAAGTATATAGTTCTATTTATAAATGGTCAAATGTGTAATGGAGGGAACTTTTAAAAAAGTTTAGTTTGCATTGGTTTCTGTAATTTTGCAGGGAAGCCTCCAAATTGTGAAACAAAGTGTAAATTTTGGTTTGTGAACTTCATCACTCTAGATCCCCCCTACCCCCTTAAATCTGGCGCGAGTAACACTGTCTGTACACAACAGTGTACAACATAGGAAACCAGTCTGATCCCTCCCCTTTTAACCGTGGGGCCTAGGGTTTACCCTAAAAAGGTATTTAGGAAAAGTCAACACCCAAATTAATTCCAGCTAGAAACCTGTGAAGTCAAACACAGGACTTAATTGGGGGACGGGTGGAGTATAACTGAGTGGGATTTAGTCAACTACACCCTCTTTTAAGTGTTCGACAACCTCTTGTGATAGCCATTATATTTACTTGTGTTTAACATAAGTATTTATAAATATTTGTTGAAGAAAAGAAGAGAAATCGGACAATTACCTTCAGAATGAGATCTAAAGCATAAAACATTGTGGTGAACAGCTTTTTGGACCACGAGGATGACGTTCTGCCCATAATTCGAGTACAACTTATTGTAGAGAACTCGAAATCACTCGATTCGAATTTTATGTGAATGTTAACTCAATAAGGTACAAATGTTATGAAGACGTGATGGCCAAAATATGAAAGGAACAAGCCTCAATCAACCAATAAAATCAGATCTTGCTGGTGGGATTTTAGGATGCATACCTCTCAGTGTTTTATTTATATCTTTTGATGGGATGAATAAAATCATGTCATTTAAGTTTTGGTGGATAGAAGACTTCATTATCTACAACTGTGGTGAAGGAATCATGTCCAAATTCGTAGCAGAACATCCCCAAAATCCCGGGACAAAAACCGACACTTTTTGATCTATTTTGGAAGAAGAGAAAGGAAGCACATTTTTGGGCGCAGCAACCGGCGCCGGTCAGTCAAGAACCTGCGCCAGTCGGAAGTCTTTTTTCGCACAAACATCACTGTTTTCGACCGGGGCCGGTCGGGACATAACCGGCGCCGGTTGGGGCGATTTCTGCACAAAACAATCCAACGTGCAAGAGGGTTTTTGATGGGAAAACCCCATCTTCCTCATTTCTTGATCAAATATTGCTTAATACCTGATTGTTGGGATCGGATAGACTAAAAGATGTCATTCTTTAGCCTATATAAAGCCCTCAATTCATCAAACATAAATATTCCATTCCATAGATTAATTCATAGCTTTTATATTTTGTTCTTGCTAATTTTCTTCAAGTTCTTGAGGAGGAAACTTCAACCTCCGAAATCATTGGTGTTTAGGTATTATTTACTTTGTAATTTCATGTTCCATTACATTTCAATATTGTATTGTGATTAATATGAGCATTAGAGGCTTATTTCTTAGCTAAGGCTAGGGATGAAACTCTATGCATATTAGGTGTTTGATAAAAGTTCTAAACTAATAAATTGTGGTTTATCCTTTATATTTTGATTGTTTATGACTATGATGTACAACATAGAAGTATGTTAAATTTAGTTTATGCTTGCAATTAACGTTGAAGTCTAAACTATGAACATTAAAGGATAAACATATATGGTACCGAGAATAGAAATATATCCGGTCTTATATGATACGGGTGTGATGTCTTGATATTCAACGGGGTTTTCGGTAGATGAATGTAAGTCGTATCGGGACTTACACGTAACGAAAATCACGCTCTCGCTGCCGTAACCGGAGCATTGGGGAAGAACTATTATTAAATAACTATTAAAGCATTTAGGTGAATCCCGATTGTCTTAGTAATTCTCATTCTTGTTTAAACCAATCTCAAAGAGCAAAGTTCCTCAAAAATTACACCATTTGTATTATTTGCATTCATTATTCGAATTTATAATATCAACCATTTCCCTGTGGATCGACCCGGTATTTACCGGTATTTTATTACTATATCGGCACTTGTATACTTGCAAGTTTAGCCCGATCATCTTGATTTTAATATTTGACTCTGCTTTCCCTCATTTATTTATTGTTCTTGTGTGCATGTTTGCGGGTGAAGATAAAGGGGAAGCATTTATGAAAGATTAAGGAAACTCATTTTTGGAAGATGTGTGTGTGGTCGCAATGTGTACTTGTGAAATGTGAGGTTTTTAAGATTCAATTATGCAATATAAAAAATTGAAAGCCCTTAGGAGTAAACTTTTAAATTGCGTTAGTATTGGAATGAAATTTAAAGTTTTGACTCCACTTTGTACTTGAAGCCTTCATCAAACATTTGTCAAATCAACTTTGTTTTGGTTTCAACTATGGAGGTTGTTGATAATGGACAAAAAAACGGCTCTGCGGCGCTACTACCAGATCAGCACCATCTGAAATTCTATTAGAGCTTGTGAGCAGGATGCTTCCTTTGGAGGTGGCTGGGCAGACCTCTTCTCCCTTGCCAGTGGCTGGCGCAACCAGAAAGTTTATTGATTATGTTCCTTTTCGGAATTTGAATGTTTGTTTTTTTATAATTTTGTTCTAGTAACAAGTCCAGCGATGCTGATAGTTTAGCCTACCATATTGTGGAGTTAGCGATCTGGCACGGCCTCCCGGGGCTAGCTAGTTCTATGTCTCGCTCCAGGGCTGCTCTGAGTTGTTGCCCTGCTTTGACTACTGTTACTTTAATATTATGAACAAATGAGTGTCTTTCTTTAAAAAATATTTGCCAGTTCAATTTTTAAATTTTTTTTAGTGTAGACTGTGGGGTTTTTACCTTCCTTTTTTTATTGAAGGATGTTTTGAAAAGTTGAAGAACTTTTCATTCTACTAATAAAATGGTCCAATTCTAATTTAGAAGATTTTTTTTTGAGGAGGAAGTGATGTATAAGCATCTCAAATTTGAACCCAATCGTTCCTAACGAAATAAAGTCAATAAACCACCCGTAATAACCCGGCCGGCCCATTCTCTCCTCTCTTCTTTCCAGCCCTCTCCATTTCCCTACCCTTATTTCATTGTCTCCGTTTCTCCTAGGATAAAAACTGTGCACGACAGTACGACACTACTCCGGATAAAAAAGATTAGGGCTACTACTATATATAATATATTTAAGGGAATAATAATTTAAATATATCAAACTTTAATAAGGTGTGAAATAAGTATTCTAAACTTGCATATGTAATATATATATATATATACCTCAAACTTTAGATAAAAAATTCTTTTTGCACAATGATTGCATGTTTTTTTTTACAAATTTAAATTTATTGGAATAATTACATAATTTAAAGGGAAAAGTACGTAAACGATATTTGTGGTTGGGCCCATTTTCAGATAGCATCATGTGTTTCATTCTTTATCAAAGTGGTTCATGTGTTTGAATTCCGTTATCACAAGAGGGTCACGCCGTTAAAAACGTCTGAAAAGGTCGTTAAAAGTAACTCCGTTTTTTAAAAGTTCCCGAAAAATTGAAAGAAATACCGGAAGGTGCGCCTCAATAAGACGACCGCTAGGCCATCTTTCGTTTTTTGTTTTCAGCCACCCTTGTCACCGAAAAGTCCACCGGAAAGTGATATCAGCGAAATCATTTTTAAAAAATAATCCAAACAAATCTGAAAAATCCAAACGCGAAGGTGGTTTGGAGGTCATCTTGACGAGGTGCACCTTTCGGTATTTTTCTTTTAATTTTCTGGGCACTTTTGAAAATCGGAGTTACTTTTAACGGTCTTTTTCAGACATTAGTAACGGCGTGACCCTCTTGTGATAACGGAATTCAAACACATGAACCACTTTGATAAAAAAAAAATGAAACACATGACCCTATCTGAAAACGGGCCCAACCACAAGTACATTTTCCGTACTTTTCCTTAATTTAAATTACTCTAAGCCTTATAGAATGCAATTAACATTATAAAATTTCATTTGTGAAATAAATAATATTACACAGATACAATTTAATTTCAATTGCATCGTCATAAATGTTTTGTGTATTTTATTACGTACTTACATTATAATATTACATTTTTGAAAAATATATAATCATGGTGTTAACATCATTTTTTCTATTAAGTTTAGGATACATAGATTTCATGTGCAAGTTTGAGGTACTTATCTCACACCCCTTCAAAATTTGGGATTTAAATTATTTTTCCCTATATCTAATGCCCCTACCCTTTCTTTTTCAACTTTATACGAAGTAAGAGTTTTTAAAATAAAATAAAAAATTACTTAGAAAATTTAGTGTAAAAATAAATTTTATAAGTAAAAGGGGGAAACAGATTAAAACTTAAAGACTTATATTTGAAAGAGTAAAGTGGGTATTAAAAGAGAGATAAAATAAATTTGAGGAACAAAACTAATTAAAGAGAAAATCGCACTTTTGGTTCCTGAATTAGTCACTAAATGTAGACTTATGTTTCCGAGTTTATAAATGTTATCGACAGATCTATTGTAAATGTCAGATGATGAATTTATTAATAATCCGGAATTGGAGATGGACTATAAACAAGAGTGACATTTACAACCAATTTGTTAATTCCGGAATGATAAATACGGGTTGACATTTTAATATTACGGAGTATGATTTATTGGGCATAAACTCATAAAGTGCTATTTTGTGGCATAAACAAAGTAAAACCAGGAATAGAAGCCGAGTACAGCGACTCAGCGAGAGCCAGGCAAACTGACTTCTAAGTTAGGACTTGCTCACTTGCGACGCGAACGGGAAAAGCAGGAACGCCGTGTCGCCGTGTGGCGTGAGTGCTCTTACAGCCAGCGCCGGCCGCCTATGCGCCTCTTAAAACCGCTTACTGATTCGGCGTCTCCGCCGCCTGTGGCCTCTCCGGCTGTCCTCTTCAAATCTCCAATACATATTTCGGCAATCCGGCTTAATTGCTTCAAAAAGTAAGTTCAAGCACTCAATTTTAATCTAGCGTTTTGAATGGATTTTAAAATATTATTTTTAAAAAAGTATGATGTTGCAGATATTTTTGTTCACTTGAGGACTTTAGACTTTTAAAATTTGTCATTTGTGTATACGAAGCATTTAGGGTTCTAAGTTGAAACTTGTAAGAGCTAACTGGATTAACTGCTAAGGGTCTTTTTTTTTTCTTACAGAAGAGCTCGCTGATATCTGCTCGGCTTCAATCTGCATAACCACTCAAAAGAAGGTAAAAGATTCACTTATTTTTTGTAGATAACCATTTGTACACCCCTTTCTCCATTCCTAATTTATGGTTTATTATTAAAACCGAATTTTATAATTGACTTATTCTAGGATTTCAATTTCCATGTATTTTGTGAACAAATATAACATTTTTATATTCTTTTTTGAGTATTTTTTTAAAATCATATAGGTGCGTGTGTATCGTTTAGACTTCTTTAGAGTGATTAGTTTGAAGTTTCTTAGGTGGTGCTCATTTGGCAAAACTTTGCTACTATTTATACGGAAGTTTATGGTGTTTTGTGCCTTTGCATTTATGGTGTGATATCACAACTTAGCACTAGAATTAGCTGAGTGGTATCATACAGAATGGCACTTTTGTTTCACATTATTATTCATATCTTTTGTGGATATTTTGCTGTATGATAAGGTGTTTTTATTTAGCTTTAATATATTTATGAATTTTCAACTTTAAAATTAAATGGTAATATGCTATTGCATTTTTGTTTCATTGTGCTATATTTTTTTTTGAAAATAAGTAGTAGCAAACATGTTTTGAGATTCTATATATGGGGAATGAAATCTAGAAAAAACAGGTTATGAAAATTGAAGCCAACAGGACCTAAGTGTTTGTATAGTGTTGAGCCTATTTCATACTCTGAGGACTGCAGTTCTGCATAGTTGATTCATTTGAAATATCCTCATTTTCTATTAAAACTTTAAAAGTATCATGATCCTATTTTCTAAATGATTTTGTTTTTATATTTCCTGTATGCTAGGATAGTAACTTCAATGAATCTGAGAGTGATTAAAGTCTGTTGAATTATCGTACTAGTAATAGTTAGAAGTCAGTGTGTTTCTAGGTGGTCTTTTGGGTGAAAGCTAATCTGCTTTTTGAAACAGATACATATGATTCACATTACTGAAACTGGAAAATCATGAAGAGCACAAGGTTTCCAGTACGCTATCAGATTGTTTTGTTGACCTTCATTTGTACATCTGTCTGCTATATAGAGCGTGTTGGTTTTTCCATTGCCTACACTGTTGCTGCTGATGCTGCTGGTGTGAATCAGGCTAGCAAAGGCATGATTCTGTCATCATTTTACTATGGGTATGCCTGCTCACAGGTCCCAGGTGGTTGGGCAGCCCAAAGAATTGGGGGCAGGCGTGTTCTTCTCCTTTCATTTGTCTTATGGTCCCTAACCTGTGCATTGGTACCCCTTGATCCAAACAGAGAAGTGGTTTTAGTGATTGCTCGCTTGCTTGTCGGTGTGGCCCAAGGCTTCATATTTCCTTCCATTCACACTGTCTTAGCACAATGGGTTCCCCCACATGAAAGATCACGATCTGTTTCTCTTACAACTTCTGGAATGTATCTAGGTGCAGCCATGGGCATGCTCATCCTTCCTACCCTTGTAAAGTTCAGAGGTCCGCAATCTGTGTTTTTAGCTGAAGCTGCTTTAGGTGGAATGTGGTCCCTACTATGGTTAAGGTTTTCTAGTGACCCGCCACATTCCGCTCATCCAAAAGCAACTGCTGCCGGCTATGGGGAAACCTTGCTTCCACTCAAAGGAAGTGTGAAGATGAAAGTAGAGCATGGAGGGAATCCTAACAGAAGTCCCAAAATTCCATGGAAGCAAATCGTACTTAGCTTACCAGTTTGGGCAATTGTTGTGAACAATTTCACTTTTCATTACGCTCTTTATGTACTCATGAACTGGCTCCCTACATATTTTGAGTTAGGCCTCCAAATCAGCCTTCAAGATATGGGATCTTCTAAGATGATGCCTTACTTCAACATGTTCGTGTTTTCAAATATCGGCGGGGTGGCTGCCGACCACTTTATCACAAAAAGAATCTTTTCTATTACCAAAACGAGAAAACTTTTGAACACTCTCGGTTTTGTTGTGGCTTCATTCGCACTGATGGCTCTTCCTCTGTTCGAAACACCCAGTGGGGCATTGTTTTGTTCTTCAGTGGCTCTTGGTTTCTTGGCTTTGGGAAGAGCAGGGTTTGCCATTAATCACATGGATATTGCTCCCAGGTATGCTGGAATTCTAATGGGTGTTTCTAATACAGCCGGAACATTAGCTGGAATTGTTGGAGTAGATCTTACTGGACGGCTGCTAGAATCTGCTAAGCGTTCTAGACTGGATCTTACAAGCGCAGAAAGCTGGATGGCTGTTTTCACCATTCCAGGGTTTCTTTGTATTTTCAGCTCTTTTATTTTTCTATTATTCTCTACTGGAGAGCGAGTTTTTGACTGAGGAGCTCCTTCTGCCGTGCATTCATGTTTTCCTCAGTGGAGGTGCGTTTTGTTCCTTGACTTTCGTTTACAGCCTAATACTGAGGAGCTCATTGGCCTCGAATATCAACTCGTATGGATAGATTATATTGTATCACTGAATTGTACACACACACAAAAAGAGAGGTAGGGGAAAGAGGGAAAGATCAAGTCCGGTGTGCTCCCGCCAGGCCAGTACTATTTTGGCCAAAAGTATTCCAACAGTCCAGAATTTTTTGTTCATTATTCAACCGTTAGATCATATCAACCATTCAATTTCAGTGAGGGAAACTTTATTTTAATTATAATTGATGTTTGCTATTGGATAACATCTGAAAGAGAACATGAGTTTAAAGTGTATATGTTTGACAATTGAAGATCTAATGGTTGAAGTAATAGCTGATACTAATGAGCATGGAAAAACTGAACTGTTAACCAAAACCGAAGTTTGCTTTAACAAATTCCCGTTAGGCTGGCCTGAGAGGAATATATTCTATATCTATACAAGCTGAACTGTCACTCTCTCCACGCACAATATATGTATATCTATGTATATATGCAGTATGTAGGCATTTATATATATGCTGCTGGAACCTATTGAAACACAACTGTAATCGGATAGATCTCTCAATTCTTCAGTGTGCCTGGAAGTCATTTGAATTTTGACTACAATAACTGCCGTGGTCTGGAGATACTGTAAGATCAATGTCTAGACATTCTCTGCCTCTTGTATGAACGTGCATTCTTTTTTCCTAGCCAGCTGCTTATTATTGCGATTATGATACTAAATTGTCAAATTTGGTTAGAAGTATCAATTTTTGTATGAGTTAATTAGCTTGAAGCCTTTGAACTCTTGAAGGAGAGCGGTTACATGATTGATTTATGATTTGTACAAAGAGGTTTTCAAAATTGGGTATGTGATCGACAGCCATTGATAAATACGGAGTAGTAGTTCTGCATAGTTCATTAATCCAGGACATGAAAAATAAATTAATTATCAATTGAGGACGCGAAAGGTGAGATTTATTAATTGAAAGCTATCAATTAATTAAAGATGAAAGACCAAATGCAACTTGTAAATTTCAATCCAAGCAAACAGGTTTTACTCAATTTCACCACCAAAGATGCCACAACGATCAAACCATGGCAAAAAAAAAAATGCACCAAAAACTTAAGGGGTGGATCAACCATTCGACCTTTCTTCCCTTCAAAAGTTGGTAGATGAGTTCATGAGTTATATCATGTTTGATTGGGATTTGGGAAAAGGGCGAGAGAAGGAGTAGACATTTTTAAAATGAGCTAGATGATTTATATACTCCGTATCATGTTTGATTGGGGAAAGGCCGAAAGGGTGAGTGAAACTGTGAAAGAGTAGACATTTTTAAAATGAGCCCGCGCTAAGTTTGGGCCAAACCATCCCATGTTTTTTTTTTGCCTATTAGTGCAAGCAGAACTGACTCGATATAAAACGGGCCAATTCACATGTCCATATCTATCTATATGACTTGGCTAGTTCTTCAACATGTAACATAATTGAAAATGTTATGAGTCCTCGTGGGAGACATAAGGCCTCCACAAATGTCTCTTTACCCATACGGCCATACCGTAGGAAGGGCCTGATGAGATACGTAGCCATTACAATAGTAAATTTTGGGGGGTTTTGCTCTCAAAATACTAGTGCTATGCGTTTGCAAAATATTGAAAAAAATGGTTGTATAAACCCTTGGAAGTTTTTTGAAAAAAATCGATTAAACCCTTGAACCTAAAACACAATTAAACCCATGAGGCCATGAACTTAGGATGTTTTCTTTTGGACTAAAATTTGCAGTTCTGGTCTGGTCTGGTCCGGTAAACGTCTGGTCTCTGTGTATTTTATAACTACGGAAGTCTGGTATGATCCGATCTGGTCTGATCTGGTCTGGTTTAGTCTGATCCGTTTAAGTCTGGTCTGGTCTGAGACTGAAAACAGTCCAAAAGAAAACATCCTCAAGGAACATGGTCAAATGCTAATGTAGGCCGAGGTTTGTATCATTTAAACCCGAGGGTAGATCATGGCAACTGACAAGAAGATTTGGGAAAAAGATAATGAAAAGGAGTTTAAAATTTTAAAAACGTCCAGAAAATTAAAATAAAAATAGTTGGAGGCATGCCTTGTCGAAGAGACCCCAATCCATTTTTCTTTCCGGTCGCCAAGCACTGCAGTTGCCGGAAATCCCACCGGAAGTTGCATTGGTGAATAGAAACTCGTGTAATGGCTAATTTCAAATTCCAATGAAAATAAGGTTAGTTGTAGCTAGTAAAATGTGGAAGGGAAGGATCGACTAGACAATGCAAAGCTCAGAAACTACCTTCAATTTCTGAGCTATGAAGCAAAGTCAATGCGCAGATGAATAAATAATTCATGTGAAATGGGGTTCCTGAAATCAGTCGAATCAAGTTTCCACTAGAGATATCTGAGTAGCACAGACTCTTTTGCTACTTTAGTGTATGATATGTATTGAGATGGGCCTACAAATGAAGGAGAAAGATGAAGAAACAAGAATGGGAGAGAAGAAGAAGAAAGAAAAAGAAAAACATTAAGGGGGTGTCCCCAACTCGCCATGTAAGCACAATAATTGGCTAACCGAGTTTTGACATTCTAAATCAAATGTTTGATTGTTTTTATGAAATTCATGACCATAATTGAGTGTTTTTCTAGATTAGATTTGCTTAATTAACTTTTTGATATACTATGAAGGTGTATTTATCGATTTTCTCCAATATCTTTGGTGGTTAATATGCCCCTCTCCCATTAACATAGCACACAAATTAGGATCCAAGAGGGATTCATGAAGATAATATAACCCATATATGGCAAATAGTCCTTTTGCCAACTACATATATACATATTCACAAAAACATTTTATGGACCTTTCTATGACTTATTTAAGTGTTAGATTAATAGATTTTAATCAGTTAGGTATATATCAACAATCTTATGTTTTAGATTCTAGACGAATAGGCAGTTTATCTTTCAAGCCTTGCATTTATTAACAAATTATACACTGCCTTAAATCCAAAAAATAACCGAAGCCGGCCAATTAAGCATGGAGCCGGGCCGGATTGGGCCCGATCAGGCCTTTTGTGTTTGGGAGTAGGCCCGGGACCGGCCCGGGTTGCCGCCGGGTCCGGGCCGGGCCGGGCCTCGGGCCACTTTGTATTATTTTTTTTTTCTAATTAACTCCCGACCCCCTCACCCCCACCCCCAAACCACCCCAAATGGCCCAAAATACCCAGCCCAACCCAAGTTTTAACAAAAATTGAAAAAAAATTATAATAATAAAGCCCGAATCGGGCCCGGCCCCGGCCGGGCCGGTTCCATATCCAGCTAACCCGAGCCCGTCCTTCACTAACCAGTGGGCCGGGCCTACCCGAACCGGACTGTAGCGGCTCACCGGGCCGGGCCCACACAGTACCGGTCCCAGACTGGTTCCGGGCCGGGCGGCCCGGCCCGAGTCCAAGACTACGACCAGTTCTGGTTAGGGGATTTTTGGAACCAATTAAGTACCACACCGATGGTAGTAGGCTTGGACCCGGTTCGGGCCACCCGGCCCGGTACTGTCTGGGCCCGGCCCGGGAACCGAGTACGGGCTGAGGGAATTGAGAACCGGCCCGGCCAGTTCCGGGCCCGATTCGGGCCTTTTCAATTTTTCGTTTTTGTTTTTTTTTGGGTTTGGGGCTTTGGGCTGGGTTTAAATGGGCTGGAATGGGTGTTTCAGATGGGTTTGTGGGGATGGGGAGGGGATAAAATAATCAAGAACACAAAAAAAAATAATAGAACCGAATCCGGCCCGGACTAGCAACAGTCAACTTCCGGGCCAATCCCGGGTCTCTCTGAATTTTTTTGGGCCCGGCCGGGCCTAGGACTGACCCGGAACCGGGCCCGGTTCAGTCCATGCCTAGATGCTAGTCCTTGTCCGACCCTATACTTCTATTTATTAGCATGAATAGTTTGTTATTTACTAAGACCAACAATGATCTTTATAAGAATTGATATCATCATTTTATAATAAATTAATACTACGTAATTTATATTATGTCAAAACTTAAGAAGATAACCGATATTTTTCCAAAACAGAATAATACACATATATAACCAATTAACCATGACTCGGAGTACATATATAAACTTGGCTTGCATGCGTTGCTATACATCAACAACTTGTACGTTGTGGCGTAAGTGAAGTTGAAGCAGACGGCGTGCGGGAGACTGTGATGGGCAAGCCTTTCGGGAAGTCGACAAATGGGAAGGCAAAAGCTTCGTCAAAACCGGCGAGTTTCCAGTCGTAGTTTAGCACTAAATGGTGGATGAATATGGCCATCTCTAGCTTGGCCAATTCTGATCCCGTGCACAACCGCGGCCCTCCCCCGAAAGGCATGAAGTTCTTATTTGTTGGCGACGTTGAAGCTGCACATCCATCTTTACTCTGCATGCAACAAATGAAGCAATGTATCAGAATGGAGCAAGTGTAACCCCCCTCCGCCCCATAGAACTTATCCATTTTACTTTTCTTGATGAATGATAACAAAATTTGGACAATGATTTTGATTATTATATTTGTGAAGTTTATAACTTCTATACTCATTTGAAAGTGCTTTCAACAAAGAACGTTTTCATCTAATTTTTATACTCGAAAGAATTTTCGTATATTAAAAAATGGCATTAGTCAAACTTGATCATTATTAACCCACAAAGTCAATATGGTCGAGTTTCCTGAGATCAAGGGGGCATTTTTTTTACTAAAAATATGATTAAGTACACTAACTTTTCCCAGGCAAGTGTAACAATGTTTTTTCTCTCTAAAATATAACCTGTTTAATCCTAAATAGCTAGAGATGCTTTTTATTTTAAGGTATGACCTTTATCCCCTAAGATGGGTCATCTTTGAATTTTTGGCCAATAGTGTTAGAACAACTCATCATGTGTGTAATGAATGCTTCCCTTCCCATAAATTAATGTCATTAACTAATGAATTAATGGGATTTGAAACTAAATAATCAGTCATTCAATAGGTGAGGAGAAGAGCACTGGATTAAAGCTCCGGAACACTTGTTCAAGTATTCATTTAATGGAGTGTGCGTGTAAAAATGATTGAACCCACAGGGAAGGGCATTTCTGTTTGCACGTGCATTTCGAAACCCCACTCCAGCATGGACGACATTTATCACCTGCACGCATTATTATTGGTCCTCCCAATATATTCCTATTTCTTTATTGATTAATTCTAATATGGGGTATGATATTGTTTTAAATATTCCTACTTCTCTCAATTAAATGTTTATTGTTCATTCAAAAAGGAGGTACTCCTTACTGTTCCAAATTAATTCTCCCCATACTCATTTCACATAAATGAATAAATATCTATAGGAGTCTAGAAAATCTTGTTCCTTTGAAGAAGAAAAAGTCTTATAGGAATATAGGAGTTAGCAAACATTTCTATTGCTTTTGCTTCTAGAAATCAGGGACGGAGCCCGAATGTAATGTCAGTGGTGTCAAAAAAATATACCAACGAAAATTACTCTAAGAAGCGCAGATCATATCAGGTCGGCCTGACGGGAACCTCCGTCAAGTCGGGGTCATTTAGGGCCCTTCCCTATGGAATTTTTTGATCAGATATTTTGATCATGTTCTTTATTAAGTCTAGTTTATACCCACCAAATTTCAGATAAAATTTCAACTGGGAAAGCAGTTAAATAAATTTCTTACAAAAATTGCGCTTGATATAAATAAACAACAGCAATTTTTGTACAGAATTTAGTTAACTGCCTTCCCGATTGAACTTTAAACTGCAATTTGGTTGGCAAAAAAATAGACTTAATGAAGAACA